GCTTTTACTATACAGACCTTTGTTGGCAATCCAGATTAGACTACTTCATGTGCTCTGCGTGAGGCTGCTATTAAAGGCGGCTTGAAAATTCAAGCATCACCTGGCTGCTTGGCAGGCCAGTCGATTGGAGCATATAGCACAAATTCTGTACTGGTCTTTCCAGGCCCAGTTGAAAGTGCTGGTGGTTCTCTTTAAAGCTCTAAATGATTTGGGACCCATGTTATCTGAAGAGCTGCCTGCATCTTGGTCCGTTGTACTGCCTTTTCCAGATTGTAGAATTGTCCAACTTCCCAACCACCTGCTGCTCACGGCAAGCCGTAAAATAGGGTGTCCTACAGCACTGGCAGGAGCTGAGCTGGCCCAGGATCTGCTGCATCCCAAACCCATTGCTGTCATTTGGCTGATGTAGCCTGGAGCAGGCTTTTGCCCAAACCTTGCACCCTGATTGGTAAAGGTAAAGGGACCCCTGACCATTAGGTCCAGTCGTGACCGACTCTGGGGTTGCGGCACTCATTTCGCTTTATTGGCCGAGGGAACCGGCGTACAGCTTCCAGGTCATGTGGCCAGCATGACTAAGCCGCTTCTGGGGAACCAGAGCAGCGCACGGAAACACCGTTTACCTTCCCGCCGGAGTGGTACCTATTTATCTACTTGCACTTTGACGTGCTTTCGAACTGCTAGGTTGGCAGGAGCAGGGACCGAGCAACAGGAGCTCACCCCATCACGGGGATTCGAACCACCAACCTTCTGATCGGCAAGTCCTAGGCTCTGTGGTTTAGCCCACAGTGCCACCCTCGTCCCTATTGGTATAGGTACCTCACAATATATCTTATGTATGTTCTATATCAGGGTGTGTGTAGCCATTCTCTCCAGATCTTGCCAGACTACAACTCCCATCATCCTTGATGGTTGGCCACCCTTGCTGAGGCTGATGGGAGTTGGAGTCCCCACAGCATCCGAAGGTTACCGTGTTGGCTATCCTTGTTAACATGATATCAATCGCTGCCAGTTGCTGGGAATTGCAGGAGGGGAGAGTGACTGTTGTGCTCAGGTCTTGCTTGCTGGTTTCCCACAGGACTGCCTCTCCCGGTATGCCCCACGGAGAGCCTCAAGGTCCATAAATAGCAACACCCTAGTGGTCCCAGGCCCTAAGGAAGTCAGATTAGCCTCAACCAGGGTCAGGGCCTTCTCAACACTGGCTCCGGCCTGGTGGAACGCTCTGCCTCATGAGACCAGGGCCCTGCAGGATCTGATTTCTTTCCACAGGGCCTGTAAGACAGAGTTGTTCCACCTGGCCTTTGGCTTGGAATCAATTTGATTCTCCCTCCCCCCTTTCTTTTTTCCTTTCTCCTGTGATAAGGCTGCATTTTAATGTTTTAATGTTGTACAGCGGTACCTCAGGTTACATATGCTTCAGGTTACAGACTTCGCTAACCCAGAAATAGTACTTCGGGTTAAGAGAACAGAAATCGTGCTCCGGCGGCGCGGCA